AGATTCACAGTTTAAGGTAAGTGATTATAACTGACCGATGTCACTAGCTTTTAAGTAACTGCATACATTACGAGTAAGTGCTATACAGTGAGTCGACTAGAGTCTTTCATGCAATTAATATAACGAAGAAGACAACACACTGGCATCAAAATGTTTTGGTTCAGATTACAAAAACACAGAAATTTTGAGACTGCAAACCATCTAGTATGATATTATAATTCGACCCTTGGGTTCCTAGTGGAACATAGGGCTTCAGTAGCACATCGCCATTCCACTCTCTTCTCTGCAGTCTTTTCAACAGAAGCTTTTATTTCTTCCTCACACTACCTCCTCTATGCCGTCTTCGGATACCCAACTGGTCGCTTCCCATTTGGGTTCCAGTCGATAACCCAGCCTGGTGCGTGATGTCCCAATCGGTCATCTCAGTGTATGTCTAGCCAAATCCACCTCCACTTTCTTCTGCACGTTTGTCGGGAAATGGGTTCGTAGTTGGTTCATTGCCAGCCAGTGTTCCTCATTGCTTAGTCCTTCTGGTCATCTGATCTTCAGCAGCAAGCGTAGGCAGGTGTTGATGAATGTCTTCAGTTTGTTGGAAATGCTTTTCGTAACACGCCAAGTCTCTCATCCATCACATGAAAGCACTGACTTGACTGAATTCGAGTTGAAAATTCGGATCTTGTTCCACATGCTGAGTTGAGTGAAGTGCAGTAGATCTTCACACTGATCTCCACAGATTAATGAAGGCCTATCTAGCTGTATTTCCGATTCTGGCTTTGACACCTTCATTTGTGCCAGTGCCACCCCTGTAGTTGAGACGATGCTGCTTAGGTAGGTGAAAGGGACAACTTCCTTCACATTTCTCCCGTTGATGGTGATTGGCGTTTGTTGTTGTTGTTATTATTTGGGTATCTTCACCACCTGTCTTCTCTGCGTTCACCAGAAGGAAGTCCCGTCTCTGCTGTCCTGCCCCTTCTGCCAACCTGTTAGTTTTTGCCTGTAGATTTTCCAGTTTGTGCGACATTAGACGTAAATCATCATCGGCGAAATCCAAATTTTCTAGTCTTTGCATCAGTCAAACAGCATATGCCCATCTTCTCGCTTCCTACAGTTTCTTGCATGATCCAGTCCACTCAACTACAATCAGGAAGACCATCGGTGTTAGTAGGCGACAGTCTTGTCTTACTCCTGTCTTCACTTCACTGCAAAGGCGTCACTGAGCTTTCCATTATGAAGTACTTGGCAAGTAACATCATATAGCATATAGCTGTTGAATGAGATTGATGAAGGTTTGTGGCACTGAAACGTAGTGTTGAAGCAGCTGCCTGGTAAATTATTTCTCGGTCGACGCTGTCGAAGGTTTTTTCAAAATCGGTGAAGTTGAGGTAAAGATCCAATTGACTGCCATTCTATGCATTGTTCTGTGATGACGTGTAGCGTAGAGTTGCAATTTGATCCGTACATGATTTGTTCTTGCTGAAGCCAGCCAGCCAGCATGTTCCGGTCGCAAGTTTGAATGGAGAGCATCTTTTGGTCTTTCCATGATGATGCGGCCCAATATTTTGCCTGCTTTGGGTGAACAAGGACAGGAGAGTGATTACGTGTCAGTTCCTGCAAAGACTTTGGTCATCCTTGTTTAGGAGTTTGATAATGTAGCCCCTCTTCCAATCTGAAGGTACCTTTCCTTCCTTCCTTCCTTCAAAACCTGCTGCAATGGTGGTGTGAGTATGTCTGCTTATATCTCCGAATCTGTTTTCAGTGCTTCTGGAGGAATTCCATCTGGTCCCACTGCTTCCCAGGATTTCAGTAACTCTATGGCATTCAGGACTTCACTTTTGCTTTTGTCGGGGGGTTTATGTTCACTGACAGTTCTGTGGCTGGGGTGCTTGTGGCATTTGTGGAGTAGTTGCAGTTGGTGGTGTGGGTGGTCGATTCAAGAGTTACTTGGGGTAGCCAGCAGATTGGTTGCCCTGTTTCTCCTCTTTAATGGTAACCAGTTTCCCTTCAATATCTTTCATTGGTTTCATTTGTGCTGTGTTGATCTCTTCCCAGATAGTAGGCTGGTTGTTTGATACAGTGCTGTCAGGTCTCTCCTACCAGCAGCCTGTTCTGCTCCACATGCCAGTGTGTCGTAGAAGTATCTTTTGTCTTCGCGCACACTCTTCTTCACTTCTTCATCCACTGTGGTGTTTTATAGCTTGTGTTCGTTCCCTGTTTTCGCTGTTCATCCCTGCACTGCAATGCACTGCACTGCACTGGTTCATCTTCTGCTTCACCATCTTCCTCTCCTTCCTCTATCAGCTCTCATGTGTTCGTCGAGATCCATTCTTGTCTTCTTTCCTCTTCCTTCCCAATACGCTTATGTAGGTTTCCTTCCACACGGATTTCAGAGTATTCCAATGTTATTCCACACAGGTTTCTCCAGGCATGTTGCTTAATGTCTCTCATTCTGTCTTGATGGTTGACTGACGTGAAGATGCCCCTTGTAGTTTCATCCTTCACTCTCTGTTCGGGTTGTTGGACTTGAACTGTGGTCTGTGACCAACTTTTGTGAGGGCTTTCAACTTGATTCTGAAGGTAGGTTCCTTGCACTAGATAGTGAGTGGTATGAACCTGCATCTGCTCCCCTTCTTGATCTGATCTTGTATCCAATAGTCTGTGTCACCACTCTTTTCAGATTGAAATGAAATCCATCTGATTGAAATCAAATCCATGTCGCTCTGTGAATATCTTTGTGTTTGTAGACATTGTCTCCAATCACCAATTCATTACAGGCACAGAAGTCTGCAAAGAGTTCTCCGTTCACATTCATTTCACTTAGTGCCTCTTGACCCATGATGGGTTTGCTTCCTGTTTTGTCTGCTCTTAGTTTGGCATTCATGTCACCCATTAGATTCGTGATGACGCCATCTTAGGTGGGGTCTTGTCCATTACTGACTAGAGTTGTCTATAGAATTCCTTCTTCTCTTGATTCGTATTATTTGCACGTGCGTGGCGTATCATTGTATGATTGTGACATTCCTTCCTTTCGATTTTAATCCAGCTTTGTCATTTTAAACAATGACTGAGAACATAGTAAAAGCTTGTTTCAATCGCTTTTCAACTTTACTTTCATCCTGAACTCAGAATAAATAAAACTTCGAATATATTATGCTTTAACCTTTTGGAAGAAATTCCACGTTTACAGCTGTGCTTCAGGTACTTACATTTATGGACTGTTTTTAAATAACTTTCATCGGTTTCTGATGACAAATCTTTTGTACTATTTTTGTCCTTTACTAGTTGTTATTTAATCTGTTGTCATATCTGACATTAAATATTTCCCTGGAGAAGTCGTGACCTGGATAACCTAGTGATTTAGTCTCTCAATGAGGGTTCGAATCTCTGAGGGATGGCTAGTTTGCTTGTGACTCCAGACATACCTTAGTGATCAATGCCAACAAACACGGAACCTAGGTCAAGCAGAGCTTTCTGATGACTGACTGTCAACATCTAATTCCTCTGAAACATTTCAAGCATGGCTTCAGTGATCGGACACCTGTCTTCCGTCAGATTTCTTCTAGAGGTTGCGTGCTAAAATCCATAAATATTTTTGCGGAATGTTCAATGTGATGAGCAGAGAAAGGTTGATAATGCAGTAGGTTGCCTGATAGATAGACAAAATTAAACTAAAAAACAACATATTCACTCTAGATTCTTGATGCACACTAGTGACTTGCTTCGGGATGACATCATCGAAGTTGTAACGAGAATTCGTGACCGGTGTGGCTAACCAAGTCGAACATGAAGATAGTTATTGAAAGACTGCATGTCACGAACTGACAAAAGTAGGTAATGTGAATCAATGGACTCCTATCCAGTGGCTCATTGGCAATATGCTAGCCCCGAAACCTGAGGCTTTTGGGTTCAGTTCCTGCTAGGGACATGGGTGAACACTGCTAGGGAGTCCCATACTAGAATTAAACGGCTATCCAGCGCTCTCTAGTTTTCAGTGGTTCTCAAACCGATGTCAGTATAGGTTGAATACCAACGTGAAATCGGTAAATAAACTCCCTTAAACCTCTTGATTCAACTGAAATCGATAAACATGGGAGGGCGGGGAAATTATTAAACTAAAATAATCTCAGTTTTCATGTCTAATAGTCCTAAAGTGAGTAAATTTCGATTCACATTAACTAAGACTGGGCTCTTATGAATGTGGTAACAAAACTGGGAAAAGAGTTATTGGAGGCCTTAGTCTACTTGTATGAAAAATCCTAGTACTAATCTTAGGAAATGTTACTACTTGAATATAAGGAAATCACTTTAATTGAGTGAGGGATAAATATTGAAGAATGAGCGATTGTAATTTAAATTCGATAAGAGTATGGAATTTATTGTTCAATGGATTAATTATACTGGTCGTATATGGTTCCTTTAAGTACACAGTTACCGTATCCTGTTAGTGATTTACCCAGTCTTGAGGAGACAGAAAAGTGTACTACTTGAAAAACGGACTTAGATTGTAGTTATGGCTTCATGAGGTGGCAGTCAACTTAGATGCTACAAACTATGCATTAGTAGAGGCACAAATTCCTTTGAACCAACTTAGGTATGAATTTGGAAAACTGCTTCCTAGAGCTTATACATAATAAATAATTAAATGTATATATGTGACATATTACGGACTCCAATGAAAACGACTTTCTGCAAAGATTATATCTGTAGATTATAGGTCATTTTAACTGATAAAATGTGAAAACGTCCATCAACGCTTGCCATAGTTTCCTACTGTGGTTTTGTTGATTTAAGATGCCATGGTAAAAGTGATGCTAGGAAGGTACAACACATTTGTTTCCGGTTAGTCTACTGAAACTTGTTTCTTATTTTCCTGCCCTGCGAAGACTTTTTATCCTCCTAGATCCTAAAGACTAAAAATGTAGGTGGAAGTGAAAGAAGATGTAATTTTATTATAACTTTATTAGGAAATATTGATTTTTGATTTTCATTTATTTTTCTTTCAGGTATAGATGAAATTCAGTTGGTTTTGGATCCACAAAGTTATGATTATTTAGTTCCGAACCAGGGATTTATTGGTTTTCGTATTTTATTACATGGGTACGGTGATTCATTATGGACACTTATTCCAACTGCCGTTTATGCTGGCCCAACATTTCACACGATGTTACGTGCAGTTGGTCTTAAAAAGGTTAGCGATCTGGGAGTTTCATGTTTGACTTTAAATGCTTATTAACAGCCGTTCAAAGATGAAAATAATTCGAATACCAATTCAGTTTAAAATAAGTGTGAAATACTGATTTTTAACTAAAGATTTTGCGAATTACTTTCCGATCATCGAAGGACTTGTAGATGGGGAGAACGTAATAGTATAAAGTTGCAAATCTTAGCACCTCTATCTAAATGGAAAAAAATATTTATTCCCGAATACACTGTAACTAATGAGACTATACTCATCACCTTGATGCATTGGTTCTTTGAAATGGTTATAAAGACCTAGAGGCATTAATGGAGGGAAATAAATTTCGGGAAAGTACCTTTTGATGATCTCATTTTTAGAAGTATTTTTAGAAAATTTCGGATAATTTGTGTAGGAATCTATTGTTATCTAACCATGATAATAGGCTTTAAAAAAATGCCAATTTCATTAAGAAAACTGCGAAAATGTTTTCAAGTTTATATTGCCTGACAAAAGTTTTGCACTATGATCATGTAAGTACAACCTGAATTCACTTCAGAACTAGGGTTTAAAAGAGGTTTAGTGTGGTTGGTTGAGAGCCAATGCTATAGGTACACAGGAGGCTTACGCAAACTGTTTTTGTGTACGTAGCTGAAAATTAACTGCATAAATAGTTAGGAATTAAGTGAAGAGAAAATGTAAACGGTCGTGCTCGTATTTTGAACTTTTAATATGACTTACAACGATCAACATATCAAAATGGAATGGGAACAGTTTTCATAGTGATGGATTATGGAACTTCTTACACATACGTTGCTACGGTTATTACATATGATGTTCATGGAACAATCCATATATGCATTCTCTCATTTGAGTAAGAATAGACTCGTAGAAGCAATCATGTACCAGAAATCATACTTTAGTCCAAAAGAAGCCAAAATAGTTCTTAAGACTATCCTTTCAACATTTTATGCAAACAATGCTGTGCTGAAAAGTATATCCAAATTATTATGATTATTTATCCCTTGGGTTCTTAGTGGAACGTAGGGCTTCAGTAGCACGTAACCATTCTACTCTCTTTTCTGTAGTCTTTTCAACATGGCTCTGAAAATATTTTGATAGCCCATGGCTCAATGAGGTTGTCAAATATTTATGCTTTTCTCGATCATCCCTTAATGAGCTTTGCATGTCCATCTTCAGTTGAACATGATAAAATGGGTGACTGATCATATGATTTTCAGATGATGCTTTCAAGTATTATGAATAAGCCTTTGTCTACATAACTGTATGGGGTTTCCATTTAAAAAATCAAACGGTAATTAAAGGCTGGGCATGAAAGCCAGTGGCCACTGGTATTGATCAAGCCACGGGCCAAATTTTGATTGAATGTTCAACCATCGCCTGGTATCCATTCATGTCTGCTAAGCCATGGTTATTTGAAGTGATCAAATTGATAATTAAAAGTAAGCTATCTTTGTTTCCACCTTATTATCACCACGCACAAACAATACAAATATTCACAAGAGCCTCATTTTCTGTGTATCTTCTAAAAACTATTGTGTTCGAATAATTTCTTCACCATTATAATATTTGATTACCGTTCAAAATACACCATACACAAAGTGGAATAGTAGATACTTGTTCTCAATGTTTCATTGAACAGCTTAATTTTATTTTTATGCTACACTGGATAGATAAGTTTTCAACTTACAAAAATAAGAAATAAACAGTTTGTTTCCTTTTGATAAAATAACCTGTGAAACTTCAGGGCCACACATAAGCAGGGCTTAGATATATATATCTCAAGAATCAGTGTGACTGCCTTCAGATTAGATATTCAAAATAAACAGACTTCTGATAACCCAAGCGAACAAAATTACTGCCGTCACACTTCTCCTAGGCAGGCAGGATAACTAAACCATCAGACCCTATAAAAATGGGCATTATTTGCACTATGACAGGAGCTGCTTCCAGTTTTATCGAGATCAAACAAAAGTTTCTTATGTAGCAGAATACCAAATAAAAATCGTTTTGTCTAGACTAGGTTTTTGAGTTGTTCAGGTACGAAAGTTTAACCGTCATACCCTGCAAAAGCTATCAGTGGAAGCTTTTCTACTAAATATGTGGCCTTATAGAAAATTTCCGATGACTAATTATGATTGAACGTCAGTAAAATATTTCTGGTTCTTACATATCTGTCCGATGGACTACATCTTTTGTGTTGAATATTTTGACTGAGCTGTTGATAATGTTTCGTGTCAACCTTTATATAGAAAGCTTGAAACAAAGGCACATTTTTTTAAAGGTTTTGTTTTCGTAACGAAGCTGTTTTGGCAAGCAACCATAAATTTTTACCTAAAAGCGGTTATTGCTTCACAATGATTTTAATCACAGTTAACAATTCTCTTTCACACATGCCGTTTTCTTAATAGATTTTTATACATTTCATATTTTCTCACATAAACGAGCGTTTTCATAAAATTAGGTTTGGGTTGGATTGGAGATTCTGTCTTCGCCTGTAGTTCAAACGACACATTTTAATCACAGGAGTATTGAAATTTGCTTTCAACTTCCTTTTTACTGCCGTAATGAAACTGATTTTAAGCTATTTTGTCAGGTTTCAATACTTCATCTTCCTTGTATTGTAAAGTGATTGCTGTATATCATCCAGTTACGGCACAACTATTGAGGCGGGTATCCATCTTTAAATAGAATAATTAGTGAACAGTGGTTTTGGGATATATCTGCTTAATCAACGCCTATCTCGATGTTCTATGCTAGGGAAAGAGGGGTTAGGTTTGGAGAGAGTTCAGGGTGGCCAAACCAAGATGTGGCACCAGTCGCTGAAACCTCTGACTGTTGGTCTGATTCTTGTAAGGAGATGTAGACTACCCGGATGGAATCACTAACTTGCTAAGAACTAGTGGTCGAGCAATTTTTGTGACACAGTTGAAAATCGGTCACAGTGGCTCAGATCTATTCATTCCTTAACATCTAAAGCTGCTTGAGTATTTTCACTAACCGATGTCTTCAAACTGTTTATTCTCTCACATAACTTCATCTACTTTGATATCACTCTCTTCTATCCACCTGTTCTTTGTGTACTACTATGAAGTGTGATAACTTGTGGCGATGCACCGATGTGAGGGGTTTTACGTTGATTTTGTCAGTCGCTTATAGAAGCCGTCTCGTCAGGAAAGTGAAGCCTGGCTATTGATTCCAAGTGGGTAAATATAAGACTGAGGAAATTTAAGACTACTCAGAATAAGAAGTCCCGGACACGTATCAGTAGCGAATGCTAGTTTCACCATTGTTCATCTTAGGGGGTTTCCACGCAGAATATTTATTAGCTTGTATATCATCAGTGAATGACTTAAATTTTATATTCAGGTTGGAAAGAAAAAAGTACGCACCACTGATGCGATGAATGATGGTTACTTTGTACAGCGAGTTGATTCAGATTGAGGAGACTGAACCACTCTATCAAAACCTAATGGTAGCATACTGCTAATAAAGTTTACTGATTAGCGTCGAGATATTACATAGAATCATGGGTGCACTCTCAAAATGATACGGAGTGTAGAAAATAGCATTCATACGTCCTGCAATCAGAAAATTCTCGTAACTTGATATCAGCTAAGGATGAAAAGTGCATCGTTAAATCACTTACTACCTATGAGTTTCATCAAATCCATACACAGTTGGAAAACGATCAGTAATAATTTCTGAAGCAGCTATGAGTGAAAAATGGCCGTGATGTAAGACGTTACTTTGGATCAAGCAGACATAAAATACTTTCACAGCTGAGTTTACTTTGCAAGATATGGATAAGGATTTGATAAATGTTTGAGTCTCTGGCATTTCTTTCATCTTTTCTCGTAAAAAGGAGGAGTACTTTAGAACATTAGATGTGTAGGTACACATTTGTAAAACAAATTTCTTGCAAATCCATCTTAGCATGTTTACCTTCTTTCACTAAGTTGTAATACGACATGGTACTTATTAGTAGACAAAATAGCTTGCAGTTAGTTCATTTGATCAAATATATAATATATTCCATATTACTGAGTAGAAGTATAACTAATAATCATAATATGTTCATATGAACGCTTAATGTACTGTATAAAACGAAGGAGGAAGGAGGAAGTTTATGCATCGAAAATGTTGAACTTAACCAAGAAAGAAGTTTAACCTGCATTTTTGTCATTAACTTTAAGGAAACTCTTGTATATAAAGATAAGTAAGTAAGTTTTCACTGAATTTTTTTCCATAACAAAGTCTTATGTTCACTTAGAATATATTTAAAATAGTAATTTGTCAGGTAACGAAATAGGATCGCCTTGTTGCTCGAAGACCTTGAATATTCGAATCTTAGTAAAGCGTTCAAACAAGGAGGTTAATATGTTACTATGCATATACTGTACGGTCTTTAATTTCAGCTAAAAAACAACACTTTAAATACAAGTGACAGAAGGACCAAGCAAGAGAAGTAACAGCTGTGTTTTTGAAGAAGTTTTACTAGCGTCAGAACTCTATAGAAAGTTGTAAACTGATTGGCGTCAATGGGGCTTTTTATTTTCAAAATTCCTTCTTTTGTGCAGATAACAAAAAGATAGTGCTACCCTACCTTGTAGCAACTTGACAGGGACAAAGCGTTTTACTCACCTGCGTTCAAAAGCAGTAACACAGACAAAATCTATTAAAACAGATATATATATATATATCTATTGCATAGACATTTCTAGGATTATCTAGATAAGAAAAACTTAATAACGCTAATGACATTCAATTATTGATTGAAATGTAATTTAACGGAAAGCCCTTCTCACTTCTTATATACTTGTGATTAATCGTTTCAGCTAATTTTCTTCGTCTATTTTTACTGTGATGTGATTACTTTCAATTAATCTAAATTAGGTTTATCAATTTCACCTTAGTTTTACCTGTCAGGTATAATGTATTGTACAGTTATGTCACCATATTTGATTTAGATGAACATTTGTCATTCAAAA